TTTTTCATATATAGTGAAATATATAAATATATAAAATATATGAAAAATTGATGTGGGTACTCAAATGAAAGGTCTCGACAAGTGTAACATCGGGATGAGCTTATATCTTTAAAAATGTCAATAATTCACAAGATACACGGTCATTTCTCAATTATGTATCTAGAGATAGAGTATTTTCAAATGCAGCCTTAATACTTATCCTAATAAATTGACTATCAGTGAGAATAATATGAAACCTTGAAAAGGCACAAATTCAAGTCAAGACCTTTGCAATGACACTAAAAAAACCTAGAGACAAAATTTTTCTTATTCTTTCAATAATATAGATTATTATTATTATAGTTAAAAAAAAAAATTTAATTTAAATACTTTAAAAAATTTTTAAATATATTTAAGTTAATATTTATTTAATAATATTTATCAAAAGTTTATAAAATGTACTTGAAGCTTTGAAGTAATATAGCAGCTTACCTTGGCGGTACAACGTGTACTTCGACGTAAATTATTATTAAGTTAATAAGAAACCACGATAAATTCTCAGCAACTTATTGGATCAATTTGCCCGCCTGTCAATAACATTTTTTTTTCTATTAATACTTTTCTATTGCTCCGATATCTTAAAAATATATATAAATAAATACAACATATAGCTACATACAATTATAGCTGTATATTTATTCTTATATACTTGTAGACTTTCTATTTATACTCTAAAGAGTATAATTACTTATAAATAAAATTACCGGTAGTAAGACAAAACCTAAAAATAATCAACAAACATTTATTATCAAGTTATTGCCAAATAATTATTTTATTAAATAATAATTAATGATTCCAGACAATTTGTAAGTCTTCCAAAACCAGACAAAAATGGAAACCGGATCATTTTCCATCGGTTGGCTGATAATCGTCCAAACCAGTACATGTTCAACGACGGAATAAAGCTGTTGCAGATGTCCGTTGATGGAAGTCTGTACTACGAAGGTTGCACGCCTGGTTATATATTTTTATTTGACATGCAGGGTGTTGGACTAGGTCACTTGACCAGACTGTCAATCACCAGCATACGTAGATTTTTTGAATACCTGCAAGAAGGTCTTCCAGTAAGACTTAAAGGCATACATGTACTCAATGCCGTGTGGTTCATGGACAAGATTCTCGCACTTATTCGACCTTTCATGAAGCGTGAGTTATTTGACAACGTAAGTACCAGATTATTATTAATGTAATAATAAATAATTCTCATAAACTCACTGGTTATATAACATTCTCTTGGTCTTGCTCTTGCTATTTGTCTTTATTATTATCATCATAATGATAATATGCACTTAATATTTAAATTTTAAACAGCTTCATCTTTACACCGGCGATGTTAAAGAAATTTATCAGCATATACCACCCGAATGTTTGCCCAAGGACTTTGGAGGTCAATTGGATTCATTAGAGACTCTTCATGGTAATTTTATCTGCCTAAAAATAATTATTATTATTACTATTATTATTATTTACTGAAATTTTTAAATATTTAAGCTTAATACTTGATACTTTAAATTTAAATTTTATTGCAGAGGAGCACTGTGAAAAGTTATACGCGCTACGAGATTACTTTTTAGAAGAAGAACGTCTCTTCCGTGGTTGGCAAACGCCCGAAAAAAAATTATCGCCTGGAGATCTCGGCACAGATCTGGATATTATTCATAAAATTGATATTAATAATTGCAATGACAGCAATAATTTTAATGAAAATGTTAAATGATATACCCTAACATTTTTTTATTTTAAATAAACATTTTCCACAGTATGTCAATCTAGAAATAATTTATCTATTGTGAAGATTTAATTTTATGAACTTTAAATTAGTCAGGCATTTTTTTAATTTTTTTAAAAATAAACTAGGTCTAAAAAATTATTTTTAAAAGTTTCTAATGATGGAATTTTTTTTTTCTATAATTGATTTGTTAAAGAATTTCTAAAAATATTCAGATTTTTTTTCAATTTCAATATCATTTTTCAAACAATAAATTAAACAAAAAATTTTTATTCAGAGAATGAAAAAGCTAAATAGATGAAAATTAATTTAGCAGATATTTGATAATTTTAATTAGCAACCTTGCAGTCACTATGAGACTGCCGTAACTTGTGAATTATAAATAATTAAAATTTTGCTTTATTAAATAATGATTTTTGTTAAATTGCACTGTACTTTCTTAAATATTGACATTTTTAAAAATATAAGCTCATACCGATGTTACACCCATCAAGAGCTTTCATTTGAGTACTCACATGCATTTTTGATATATTTTTCATAAATACATATATGTAATATATATAAATATATAAAATATATGAAAAATTGATGTGGGTATTCAAATGAAAGGTCTCGACGAAAGTAGTGTCGGGGTGAGCTTATATCTTCAAAAATATCATTAGTTAACAATATAGCAAAGTAATTTTTTAATAATTGACATTTTTTAAGATATAAGCTGATCCCGATGTTACACTAATCGAGACCTTTCATTTGAGTACCCACATGGCATTTTTGATATATTTTATACATATGGTATTTGTGAAATATATAAAATATATGAAAAATTGATGTAGGTACTCAAATGAAAGGTCTCACCGAGTGTAACATCGGGATGAGCTTATATCTTTAAAAAATGTCGATAATTGGCAAGATACAAAGTCATTTCTTAATTATTGACATTTTT